GCATGATGCATACCGCGTGATGTTTTGATGAACTGCGAACTCAACAAGAACCGGACGGGGTTGTGCGGGCATGTATGTACCCATTACATACGTACATACATACATACCTACCTACCTACCTACCTACCTAGTTACCTACGTACCTATGCATCGTACCTACATACTCAGCTCGCTTCGGCACTTGCTTGTATGTAATAGATGTATGTGACTATATGACTCTTTAGCTGAATGTCCGTCTGGATTATTTCTCTCGCTCCTTCGATCGTTGTGCATGTGTGTGTGTGTGTATGTGTACTTATCAACCACACATGCTACAAATAGGCTGCATTCAGACATGTAAAGACCACAAAACATGGCGGCACACTCATAAGCTTTGTGGTGCATGCATGTAACGTATGCGCAGGCAGGTGTGCTTGACGGTCATATGTGCTGCGCTGCATATTTGGCCACGTGCATATGCTCGGTGGACAGAAACGCAGCAAAACGTGCAGACACCGATGACGAATACGTATCAACTGAAGGGAATCACCGAGGCGCCGTGGCTGCCGCCTTGGCGGCACCCTCTGGAGCCGGTCTTGCTGTTGCCTTTCAACTGGCAGGACTGCTCCTTACAGTTATCCTGTGCCGGACCTCAGGCCCAGGTGTTTCGGATCACAGGAGAGTTGCGTTGCTAGCCCTGGTCCACGTGCTCTCATCTTCCGAAGCCCTGGAACAGGACCCCAGATACCCAAAGCCCTCATCTCGCGATTTGCCGAACAGGGGAAGCCCCTGCATAGCTTTCTGCGCTCATACTGGGATGACTGCGGTCGGGGAAAACCTCGAAGAACCGGCCACTCTGCTGAGTACCACACTTATACCACTGTGCTCAACAGATACAGGAGTATAAACGACATACATTTCTCACTTACGTGCGTGCAGAAGATGGGTGACAGTCGGTGACATTTTGAAGTTTGATCCTTACTGCTGGAAGTGTGCTCTGCGCAACCTACAGTAACACGAGAACCCTCAACCTGCAGCCCTCGATACCGGTTTAGGAGCCCTCGACCTCACCATCGGCCATCAGCTACCACGAGGCTCCGGCTGGGCACGAACACTTCTGATGAGCATGGAATGTGTTTTGTTTTGCTTTACTCCAGAGGGCATTTTTCCTGGGGGCTTGTGTAGGTGCAACCTGCAGGCTTGCGACGCTGTTGCACCGCAGCACGGAGCAAGCAAGTCGATAATTGCCCAAGTCTGTTGTGAGGCGACTGGCAATGGGGTCCGGCGGCCACCCTCCACGATGGCACCGATATCATGCAGGCAACTGTCTCTGCACGGTCTTGACAGCCCTTGGTTAGCCTAGTTGTTCGATGTTGTTCGCGTGCCCTGTGAATTCCTCAGGTCTGAACCCCGATCCAAACGGGAAACCCATGGAAGCTCCCAAGCCACGGTAGGGCTTCCGGGCCCGGCTCGCGTCTTTGGGTGGCCACCGCCTTGCAAGCACAGTGGCCGCTGCCTTTCGGGACGGCTCTGGCAGGCAAGAGATGACTACCGAAAGTGGTAACAGCACTCCAACTCCTGCTACTTTGCCTACTACTAGTACTACCACTGCCACTA